AGAGAGAGAGAGAGAGAGAGAGAGAGAGAGAGAGAGAGAGAGAGAGAAAAAAACATAACATTTTGTTCTGCCTAAATGAACTATTATCAAAAGTAAAGCCACTCTTAAACTAATTTCTGAGTTAAGTCAAGCTGATTGCTGGGCCAATATATATATATATATAATAAAAAAAAACATGACATTTTATTCGGACTAAGTTAACTATTATCAAAAGTAAAGCCATTCTTAAACTAAAGCCCTTTCCTTTTTATTAGACCGCTTTCGTCTGAGCACTTTACAGTAATATAATAAAATAATATATTTGATATTCTCCAAGCTATTGCAGCTTCAGACCCACACCGTTGGTGTACAAGTTTTCCTGCAGGATGACGAGAAGCGTGCAGGCAGCCGCCTAATTCACTGCAGCGCTCAATCAATGACACACAAAGAAATTTGCGGGCTGTGCACAGTTCATCATCAACGGGACAACTTCAAATGGACTCCAGGCAGAACAGACCAGAGCCACTACTCCTGAGGAGCAGAGGGAGAGCCTTACTTTGAGATAAAGAATTGGAGCGTTTAAACTGTACTGCTTACTGGGAACAAAAATGCATTCAGCCATACACGAAGAAAGGGTGAAAGCAGATGGCAAAAGGCTATGCAAAAAATGTTGCAATCACATAGAAATAGTGAGAGGAACTCCACTGGCAGAAAAGCACACGAAATCGTGCCCCCATCATTTACGCCACATTTGATGAAATGGACATAAAAGTCAAAAGTTCAGGGCGCTTTAATGCAGCCCAGGACTAAAAGACTGTATTACACTGTCAGAGGGAAAGACAATACATGCTTCACTGTGGGAAACGATCACAGGGCCGCTTGCTGTCACAAAGTTCATGTAATGCAATGCCCGCTTTTGGTAAAAAAAAAAAGATACTGAAATGCCTTTCTATGCTGAAAGTAAAAGAGGTGCAGCACATGTTCCTAAGAGGTAATTCAAGGTCCATTCATGGCTAATACGGATTATACTGAGCCAGGAAAAAGAAAAGTTTGTGAAAAGAATGTGACATATACATACACTGTACAGTGCAAACTGATTAGAATTCTCCGCTTAAGTTTTTCTTTTTTCAATAAAAGGCTATCTGACATCCATCCATCTATTATACTGCTTATTCCTAGTAGCCAATTCAATCTGACGTTGTTACATAGTAGGTTTCAGATATAATTGTCTCTACGACAGTTTTCTTTCAGTTAGATGACAGTGAGGAAATACAATTTACATTCACATTCAAACCCAATATTGTTATGTATATGTATGCAATTAACCCTCCTAAGATAACACAATTAGTCGGTTTAGCTGGTTGGCCATGGTTGGCTAAATCTGAACTGTTCTTGTTCACAACGTAGCATAGGAAGAAATATATTTGAGCTTTAGGTCATTGAAATCAATCCACCAAACTGTTCATAATAACAAACAAATACAAGTCTGATAAATATATGACTAAGGAGGTATACACAGAGCGGGTTCAGAGGAATATGGGATGAGATTAAGGGTGTAATCAAGACAGAAGACATAGCGTCAAAGAAGGATGCTGCCCTAACGGGAAGACAAATTTGAAAACACATATTCATCCCCGCAGCACAAAGAAGCTTCGTCATCTGTGGTTTGAATTAGATTATGGTCACTTTAATATCTTATGAAAGAAAGTGACTATAAAGATTACAAATGAAATGGTGGGTAGGAAAAATGCCCAGGCCAATCTACGACATACACTCCACAAGGATCAGTTGTAATTTGATCATCTTACTCTACTGAGCAAATATTCCAACAACAACCCTGAAGTGGTCATGAAAGGGTGTTTCACTATCCTCACGATCCTCAGCCACCGAGAAATTTACAGTCTGGAAAGCTCCTCATATGGAAGGATGTATTCAGAGTGGATGTTAACATTGTTGATCCTTGAGATAAAAGGTAGATATATTTGGGCTCTGTTTATTACAGTTAGCCCACAAGCCTGGCATGAGAATGCAAGAAACATTATATTTAAATTGGTTCTGGAAGGAATATTCAAAGATAGAGTTCAATTGTATTGTACATTTATTTTGGAAATGCATGTTCTCACGTCACGATATATTATATAGATATTTTGATATCAGGTCTCCAAACTGTGTGATTTCTGGTTTCAATTTTTAAAAGAAATCTTTCAAAAATCTTAAAAACGCCATTTGGGCCAGAATTTTACATCTAAAAGAACAAACCAAAAGACATGTTGGTGTTCGAGACATGTAGGTTTATGGAGTTTAATAAACACAACGCGGTTTCCGCCTGCTTAGAACTGACAAACACAGTAACATGAATCATAAAGTCAACAGACAGGCTTCCCAGTATTGAAGAAAAGGTAGGAAAAACATATTTATTGACTATTTTATGAGTAACTTTAGCTTAACTTATACATGTTATTAACATGTACATCAGTAACTTTTACATGTAGTGCATATAATAATTAAACACTGAAGGTTTTAACCCTTGACTAGGTTAAGATGCTCATCAAAATGATCAAGAGTCTTGCTGGACAGATTGGTAAACCTATTGTTAGAGCTCTATGCTCTCCAGAAGAAGCAAAGGCAGAGAAATATAGGTATATGACAGCTACATGACACATTTACAAACATGTTTGTTTGTACGGTAACTACTCTTTCCCATTATTCCCAGTCAGAAAGGACAAAACCAGACTTTGCAACCTCTCCGGTGCTAAAGTAAAACGATTCAAATTTAAGAATGATAAGCGAATGTTTTCCAAAAAGTCCTGGCTTTGCTTCAGCAAACGATAATTCCCTTTCATGGGAAACCAACGGCAAATAAACCTTTGTTTATCCCACATGGGAGGGAGCCAGCTGCAGAAGAAATGCTGCATATTTGTGGTTTGTGATGATTTAACATCCATAACTGTGGCAGAAATGATTGGTGGACCGAGAAAAATAACACATTCAAAGGAATCAAAAGTCTCAAATCTTCTTATCTTCGCTATCAAAGGGAAGTTTTGTGCACAGATTGTTAAGCATAAACACTTAGAGGCAAAAAATCTGGTACATCGGGCTCCTTTGGGAACAAATGCAGAAAGCGAAAACAACAGTTTCCAGAAACTTTTGAAGATTTTGATTCATTCTTTTGAATAATTAAGAGTTTGTCTCTCTGTGATAAGACAGGCACACTTTACAAAGACGCTTATATATTTCTTTTGGGACCTTTTGCTACAGTTTGACTCCAACGAGGAAAGCAGAAGTGGAGCCCAGACACCTGCTGGTGTTCTGATGTACGGTTAAAGCACATGGAGGACTCAGGGAAATGGGTGCCCTTTTCCAAGTGAAAAGCCTTTAGTATGCTGTTAGTGCAGACCTGTGAATGGATGCGTGGTTTAGAAAAAAAAGAAAAAAGGGTCAGAGTGTGTTGTTTTCTGTATGTGGAACCAGCTCCTTTTAACAGTGGCCCTCGTTACCTGCCTCTAGTCATAGTGAACCTTCACACTGATCTTTCTTCCCACTCTTATTCACCCTTCTCAATATCTTGAAGAAATGTGCCTGCTGAAATGCAGATTTATTAATTTAACAGAGCAGAGTTTCCATTTCAACAGTAAATTCAATGTGAGGTGAGGGATGAACATCTGCCCTCCCGGTTTACCGTGCCTTGCTCCTAGAGTAGAAACTCCAATGGGGGGGATAAATTAATAAATTAAAGCCAAAAATGATTAAAACCGGTCGCGCCATTTTTCCTCCACCCTGTTAAAGCTCCAGGTCTGCTGATCCACGGCAGAGGGAGGAAAACAGGTGGTCCTAAACAGCTAAAGCTGTTTTCCCTAACCCTAATGGCCAAATATCTCATCCTGTATTTGGGGAGGTTCACCTCAAAACTGGGGTGTGGAGCAACCCACTTAACTGTCTCACATTTGAGCCAATAACCTGTGTGTGTCGTTGTGTGTGAGCTCCGTGAATACCGCTGGCAGAAGTTTGTGTACCTGAGTCGTATGCGTACTATAAATAGAGGCTGACAGTCCTCTAATTAGCTATTTACATATCAAAACATTATTGGCACCATAGCTGAAAAAAGGCACGGAATAATGAAAGCAGCCACAAAGAAGACCAGTGAAGTTCAGTGAAGGTGAAAATTAGGCACCCATACTCAATATTTCAAATAAAAATGAGATCACTCAGGTCTTTCGGTATGGAATACGAGAAGGTTAATACTGATAATAAATACCTTTCACATTCCTACCACTGATTTATTGAATTTCCACCCATATTGATTATTCCAAAACTTTAATGGCTTCAAAAACAGGTAGAAGGCACGAGAGTGTGTCAGCAGCACCTATGACTTCTTTACAAATATCACGTGTGAGAGAGGGAAACAGGCACACAGTGAATTTGTTCCTGCATCTGCTCTGTGAAGAAAAACCCCATTTCTGACTGAGAAAAATCCCTGGGTGGACTCATGACCACGTCTGCTTTCTTTTGCATTGTTCCTCCTCTTCGGGGCAGTGAATGCATCTGATAGCTCGGAACGTCTTCCACAAACATCTGCTTCTTTTTCTCCTCTTAAACACGCTTTATAATCTCTGTCATCATATCAACCGACTGATGTTTTTCTTTTTTAAACTACATTGCCGTGTTAAGTTGTGCCGTTTGCTGTTGGATCAAATAGAAGAAGACATTTTTTCTGTGTAAATGAATTGAATTTGATTGAATTTCTTACTTGTACTACTTTGCTCAAAGGCTACGGAAACCTAACGTGGGAAGTATATGATATTTTCATGTCATTTGCTAAATATTTGTCCTCCGTCTTCTCCTTTAGGTGCAGTTTTAACGGTGTTGGACCTTCAACGAGCCGCGAGTCTGGAATGTGGAGGAAACCTGGGCAACGCTAAGAGAAACAGCCCCCTGACAGATGCGGTTTCCACTGACACCGGGGTGTCAGGACACACTGCGGATGTTTGGGAAAAGTCCAGTCCTGCTAACAGGCCAAGAAGGTGGGGAACAACACCGGTGCTGTTTCAGGCATCTGTGGTACGGCGGTGCTAAAAACAGCTTTACCTCATTTCCGGTTCCCTGATTCTGAAAGCTAGTTGCGTCTGCTCACCTTTTTTTCTGTTGAAGGCGCGGTTCATAGTGGAAAATGTGGGTCTGCGGAGTCCCTCCTATCTGCAAATCTTCCACCTGGAAAAAATGAAAATGAAAAGAAAATAAAGAGCCGGGCGACTGGAGTTAAAAACTGATTTGTGCTCAAACTGTAACTAAAAGGCAGCGCAAATCCAAAGAAATGTCTCCTAAAAAAATGGGGAAAAAAAACATGAAAATGGGAAGAAGGAAAAAACAATGGCACCCAGTGAGAGTGAGGTGAGGTTTACAGCACAATGTGTAAGCATTAAAGCTCCGGCAGCTTCTGCATTGTATCATTTTAACACAACGCCACGTGACAGTCAGCCTGTGTGGAGCATTTGCTTTTATCCTTGAAGAGCTGATAAACTAGGACCCGATGTCCTGTTTGTTTCATGGAACAAGACATGACTCCGAATGGAGGCCTCTTTAACGGGAGATCAAACCGTGTGGATCTGTTCAAAATGAAAACATTGTTTTGTTTTGTTTTTTTGTCCCTCGTTGGCACAGATTTCTAATCTGTGGAACGGAACAAAGTGTCCCTTCTGTCAAAGTGTTTAAGCGGCACTCAGGAAAAACAAAAAGAATTGTGATAAAAAAAGTCAAAAAAAGTTGCGAGTGTTTCATTTTTTTGCATCATTAAGAATCACTTCCACATAACCGCACCAAACATTTTGTCACACAAAGCAAACGGCGGTAAACATGTTTGCTCCAGTCACACTGACCTTGTGTGGATTTAAACTAATATCCTCGTGGGTCGTTTTTTTTTCTTTTTTTTCTGAGTTTACTCAGATGGCGATGTGCGGCGGGTCTGTTCTGATACGCTAGCAGGTACAGAGCAATGACACTTTGCCACACTCCAGAAAATTGGGCAATTTCCATTGCGAATGAAAAATGTCCGCCTCGGCCCGGCGTCTCTAATTGGAGCGGCGCTTTGACTGCGTTTGCGTGAATTCCCCGAGAGCGTTGGGTATTCTGAAGGACTGCAAGGACACGCCGGGCTGGACCGGGGGGAGCCGCCGGCCTCCGCCACAATCAGTATTCGGAACTGTTTAGCTGTTGAAAGATATTCAAAGGAGGTTTGCCTCGTAAAACAGCCATTCCCATCCTTTGCCTTTGCGAACACGTTAGCCCGTGCCAAGTCATTTAGAAAATGAATGAAGGTTTCCCGTGTCTGGCGTTTTCCATTTATCAGGAGAAGCGTGAGTAATTATAGGGTCTTAGTGGATGGAAAAATGAATCTTACTCAGGTTGCAGCAGTGAATGGCCAACATGTTCTATTTCATTACTGTAGCTTTTTACGTGGAGATTCTACAAGACATACAAAACATAACCGACAAACAAAAGACAACTAAACGTGATCATTTTGTTTCAGACAGTACAGAGAAAATGATCAATATTCAATGACTTCACGAACTGTAACGCTTGGTCAGCGTGCAAATGAACTTGTAAGGATGTCACCACAGGGAATAAAATATTTATAAAAGAGCGGACACCAAAGGTTTAGCCTTTCCTACAAAGATGTCTATGAACATTTTAGTGTCATCTTCCACCAGAGAATCATTGATCAGGTTGTAAAAACCGTATTATTAAAAAACTGAAAGCCAAAGTGATCTTTTCCACAAAGTGCAGAGTTCTCAGATGTGTGGAGATGTCTTCCATGATCGGCCGTGTATCGTTTAGCTGTTTAATTTTCAAATACCAGTGAAAACATACAATTTTGTACATGAGTTGAATTAATAAAATAATGAAAAGATTTCACTGCATTTTACAAAAATTCTCAAAGTTCTGCATTACGTTTTTTCAGCAGCTGCAAAATGAATACATATCTCAGTATTTAAGTCATTTCAAAGGCATATAGATCAAATATCCGAACAAGTCCAGGAGTTTAATTCTGATGTCATGTAAAATCGAAGGAAATCCATATCTCCCCGATGCGAACAGATGCTTTGTTCCTCAAAAGGCAAAACAACAGCAGCCTAACCTGATTCAAAATGTGCTGGATCTGAGGAAACCTACTTGGAAAGAGCACAGACAACTGTTTCTGGCAAACAAACCGTCGGCTCACATCTCCGACAGAGCTTTAATGACATGTAATTAAAGGGGAATGGGAAAACAATGCGTGCGGGTTCCTCACTCCGGGAAGGTCTTTCAAGCTGACCGAGGTCCTGGAAGGGGCTGAAGGGAATTCGGATGGAACGGGCTTTAGGGTGGAGGCCGAGACATTCCTCCTCCTGCGGGGTCAGAATATCTTTGCTGCTCCTTATTTACAGATAAAACATATCGTGCAGTGCAGATGAGCGAGGGCACCGTTTCCATTTAGCTGCAAACGGAACGTTCTCCAGATCGCTGCATCAAAGTACTCTGCTTTTGCCAAATGAAGACCTTGGCAGCAGTGGCCTTGGTGCTTTATCTCTGTGTTTAGGATAACCACCTCTATGGAACTGAGGGACACTTGCAGTGGCGTTGCTTGTTGTTTGCTCTGTTAAAGTCAATTTTCCCTTTATTTTTTTTTTGCATAAGGGTCTGAACCTCCTTTCAACATTGAGATAAAATCTGTTTTACCCACAAATAGTGCCTTCAATGTGTCCTACACTGGTGAAAACAAAAGAAATAGACAAATGATTAAGATACACTCAAATTCAAAGTCGGGAGCAACCGCTTAGCTCTTTATATTTTCCTTTCGAAGAACCATCCCACTGTTTTAGGAGGTCAGTATCACTAGTTTAGTCAAAAACTATGTCATTAAAATAAAACCTAGCAAATAACCCATTCTAGTTTGGATCTTTAGGCAGCTTCTTGGAGTGACAATATTTGTTCCAATTTTTTTTAGCTTCATTTAAAAAAAAATGCCAAAGATAACTTGGTTTGAAAGATATAACACATGCCAGAAGTCTGCTTGATGTGCACATTTTGTGGAAAGTGGACAGAGCATGTCCATTCTTTAGTTTGGGAAAAAGGGAGAAAACACTCAGCCGTGAACTGAAAATGAGCAGCAACAGGTCTGATGGAGGGAGGGATCCTCCCCAGAGTCCGGAGCTCAAATATTTCAGGTCTGGTGTTTGGTCACCTGACAGAGAACAGAACTAAAGACAGCCAGCATCCATAGAAGAGCTTTGAGATGTCCTTCGAGAAAGCCTGGAAAACTATTCCTGAATATTCCCACTGCTACTTAAAGAGAGGACAGAAATCTTAACTAAGAGGGTTCAAAATAAAAGGGCTCGTATTAAATATTGCAACTCAGGCCTGAGATTTAAACCATTCCTGCCTAAAAAAATGCATGTTATTGTATGTTTGCATGTTTTAATGTAGTAAAGTACTTAGTTTCTGCTTCCCTTCAAAACAGAAAGCTAAATAAAGGCCTCAAGACTTCTGCACAGAACTGCGAATGCAGTAGTGGAATATGTTCCAGCAAATCAAGGATTGCATGTCCGGCCAGCTTTTCATGACAAAGAAATCACGCAAACATTGAATAAGCCTCAAATGGTCCCAGTCCAGACTATAAAGACTCAATCAGCTCACTTCTAAAAGTCCCCACTAACAGCTTTGAGTCCTTGATACCGCCTTACACAACTGGATTGTAAGGTAGTGCCTCGCTTGACACTTGGCTGTTATATCACTTTTTGTGACTGACAGCTGCCCTGTCGGGGTTGCTTTAATAGCTTCCTGTCTGGTGATTCAACAAAATCCCTGTGGGAGAACTGCTGACCCTAAGACACATTTAACACACACGCACACACAGATACACACACACAGACTTAACACTGAGCTGCAAACATCTTTGGTCTCTGTGTTATTTACCGGCTGCAGTGGGGTTGGATCTGCTGAAATCTTCCCCCTAACACTGTTTTGAACACATCCTGCTCGCGTATGTTCCACTCACAGTCCCAAATAAACCCGCCATACACTCATTTGCATAATGCTCCACCGCTATGAGGTTCTCCGACATTATGGGGGCTAATTAGAAGAGCAACCGGGTTCGCCGTCCTCCGCAAACTTGTAATTAAAACCAGGCAAAAGGGATCAACGTTTCGAACAAACAGCCCAGAAAAGGAGTCCACACAGCATATCAGAGCCAAAGCCAGTCCAGATGATTCACCCCACAGTGACTCAAACATTTGGAATTTAAGTTGGGAAAGAATCTCTCTCTGGATCCGAGCGCGAGCCTGCGTTCAGTCCCGAAAAAACAAACCCAAACGCGCGAGTCTGTCAAAGATGAATGTTTAAAAAAGGCCTAAAACGACAAAAATCAAATAAAGTTAACCTCCCTTTTTCAAATGCCTTTCAGCCGCTCGCTAATCTGACCCAGATGCACTGGGAGGGCAGCGGGCTCTTTACGTTAGACAGAGGTAAAACACGCACTGTGGCATCAGCATAATGCCTCGGAGAGGAAAAAAAATAAATAAAGAGTCAACAAAGATCCTTTGTTTTCCTCTCTTTGCTCTCACTCTGTCTGTCGCACTGAGGGCTTTCCGGCTCAGTGCAACACACAAAACATCAAGATCGCAATCTGTTTATGAATTTAGCCCGAGAATTCCTCAGTGTCTTTCTTCTTTTTGTCCAATCTAAAATCCAGGCTCTCTCTCTCTCTCTCTCTCTCTCTCTCTCCACACAACCCGGATTAAATGCTGCACCCTGATGCTTCTATCAAGGAAAACTCCTTCAAGCTTGTACAGAAAGGAGGCAAAAAAACACAAACATCTAAAGAGCGAAAGATGCAAACAACAACCGAGCGGAGGTAAAAAAAAAAAGAGCTACTTACTTTGCCTTCAAACTGCGGTGGAATAGAGAGAGGAGGAAGTTCCAGCAGGTCTTAATAGTTTTCAGCTGTGGACCAGATGTTGCCTCGCTGCAGCGAGGAGAGATGATGGGGCTCGCTAACTCAACACGGAGCGTTTGCCTAGACACAGATACTTGACATTCAAACCCGAGTTCCTCCGCCCACAGTTTGTCCGAAAGGAGTTTTGCATGTGTTCAAAAAAAAAAAAAAAAAAAAAAAAAAAAAAGAAGACCCCTTGTGAGAGCAATGGGACACACAGAGGCATACCAAAAATGGCCGACAAAAGGTCGGCGCTTGACCCCGCGTGAGTCACGGGCGCAGTGTGTGCACGGGTGGCAGCATCTTGGCATCGATCTCGGCGGCAGCCAAAATATTGTGACGCGAGGAGTCACAACACCACTCCGCCGAGGTTACGTCGGCTTGATGTAAAACTTCCTCTGTTTACTGGAGCCGGGAAACACTTGGGGCACACGCACGCTTCACTTTGGAGCGTCTCTGTTATCCAGAGTCAATGGAAATCAAAAGGTTTAGGTTTGCTCTAATGAAAAAGCTAAAAAGAATATAAGAAAATCTCTTTAAACACTAAAAAAATCAGTCAAACTAAGTGAACAGGCAGAGTTTGATTCAATAGCTTATAAAACCAGCTTTAAGATCAACAGCTTGTGTTAATCATTTTCTGTACGATATCATTGCTCTTAAAGCTTTTTTGAATTTGGTCTGATCCTTCTTTTTCAGCTCATTGAACTTTGCAAAGACAGCTCTCTGAGGGTCCCTCTGCAGCATCATCATCATCACAGTCAGGAGGAGGTGTGGCCCCTTGACGCGCTTAGTTTTTACTCGTTCTTCTGTCATTCTGTGTGCGGCGCCCCCGTTCTACCAGCCTGACGTTCTTTCATCTGCCTCCGGGGCTTAATGACTGAAGGCAGCTCAGATAATCAGCCCTCCACGATCGCAGTAAACAACGGGTGTGAGGTGTTTGTGCCGAGATGCTGTGTTTGGGTTTCCTCTGGTTTTCTGGAGTGCGTTGATCTGAATAGAAAGAGCACGCTTTTTTAAAAGAGAAGAAAAAAAAAAGGGCACAGGGCAGCATCGGAAACTACACCTCAACGTCAAAAAAGTCTGGTAAAGTGATGGAAAACTAACCACCTTTGTAGAATGAACTGCAAAAAAAAACATGAAAAGAAAGATACAACCCGAAAACCACCTACAAGCTTGATTCCAAAAGCTAAAGGACCATTTCTCATGTTTCGTTTTGTCTTTTTTTTTTTTTTTAAATCAGGTTAGTAAATCCAGCTTCGTCAGGGCCCTGGGTGGTGGTGTGTTTTTACTGGCCAGCACAACTTTGGTTTCTGCATGAGAGAGCGTTTAAAACGGGGAGGGTTTAAAGAATTTGGGCGTTTCTGTTCACACTTTATTTTTCCAGGGTTTTTTGTTCCTTTGCCCTGTATCGTTCATGTGTGGGTCTTGTATGAACAGCTGTGTGTGTGTATGTGTAGGTGTGTGTGTGTGTGTGTGTGAGATGAGGGGGGGTGTAAAGGAAGCGGCTGACCCAGACGTTTTCCCAAAGAAGTGGGGCCCTTCTTTATGCCAAGAAAATCCAAGGAAAAAATACCGATTATCTCGTTGAAGCTGTAAAACTGGGATTGATAACGACCATTTTCAATTCTTTGTCCGGGTAAATAACAACTTAACCGCCGTTTAGCTCAGCAGATGAAGCCAATAGCAGACGTCTATGTAAGTGCTGGCACTACTCCGCAGACTTACAGTATCCTGGTCCTTTCCCCACGGTTTACGGCTCTTGTGCATTGCACATTCCGACTCCTAATTATTTCAGTCCCTGCCTGAGAGAGAGCGGAGTTAGTCTGTGGGAGTGGGTGGAGGAGCAGGAATGCGCATCTCAATGAGACAGATTCAATTTGTTGCCTGCGTATGATTTGTGTGCCACTGAAACAGTAAAGCAGAGTCGACATAAAATACCCAAAAAGTACTCCTAGTTTGAATGATTAGCACTCATTCCGAGTAGAAAGAAATGCTGATGGCTGCTGGCACACAGATGTTGCTACACAACCTCGTCTTGAAATTTCCAATCGATTTGCCCCTAATGTAAGAAATCCTCATGTTTCCCTGAGTAATCAGGACAATGATCATTAGCTTTTTCTTTAACACTGAATCACTGTTAAAAAAAAGTTTATTTTTATTAATTCTATCCACGTAGATTTAGTGTATTTAGAGATTTTGTTTATTTCTGCAATAAGCCGGCGTGAGCACATGGTACAACAAAAAGAAAAAGTTGGAGTAAAATTGTTTTGACCAACTTTTCCGAGCTTATCTGCAGATTGAATACATTTAATGCAGTTGTAGCTTGGTTTACCACTACATGGTATAAACACAAGTAACAAAACAGAAGTCTGAATAATAAAGCGAAATGTAATTTCTGACATGCACTAGATGGACAACAGTCATTGTGTCAGTTTTAGCATCTTAAAATGGACTGGGGAGAATTGGAAGCTTATCTCTGGCGGTTCCAGTAGGACGACGGTATAAATCTGTGAATATGCCATGGACAGGAGGGGAAAAACTGCCGGTTCTTCTGTGACAACGGCTTCTCTCCCGAACCTGTACTCCGTAGGAGGATCGATTACTTCAGGATTTGACGTACAAAGTCATTATCTGTAAGCCTGTGCAGAAAAAAAAATGACACAGGTTTGTTTTTCATTTAGCTATGGGCTACAAACTGAGAGACTTTAAGCTAGTCTTCTTATTCTTCCTCATGTTCAAATAGACTCATCAAAGAATGTAGATGTAAGCAGATAGTGCTGTGATTTCACTGTCCGTTTACCTTAGTTTTAGTTTTTCATTTTATCTTCTGAATGCTGTTGCTTGCCAGCGATTTAACAAGCTAAGAAAAACTGTAACTTTTAAAATGTATTTGCACACCATAAACATAACTTCATCATTAAAAAAAGACATACGTAATCATGACATTTTTGTTCCTAACTGAGAACATTAAAAGGTGGAAGTATTAAAGTGGAAAGCTAATATTTGCTCCATAAAACTAGGAGACAAAGATTTTGTCTATTGACAAAATAGACAAAAAAATAGACACCAACTCTTTGGTTTATTGACCAGGTATCTTTTACATACAAGGCATTAAATGTGGTCGTGGTGCAGGGGGTCTTTGAGGGGTGGAAGGTGGCAGCCAATCATCTTCTCTGCAGAGTGGATGATACCAGGATGAAAACCAGACGGTGATGGGGGTTGTGAGGATAGACTCTACGATGGCTGTGTAGAAGTGCACCAGCATAGTCTTTGGTAGGAAAAAAAAAACATCTTTTTCTGGGCTTTTTTGGTGATGGAGCTGATGCTCAGCTTCCTCTTCAGCTCCTGGGTGATGGTGAAAGGACTCCACTTCAGGAGCTTGACAAGAGTGATAAAAGGCCGACTGACAGGCTGGAGCTTCTGCAGTGTCCAGGTGCCGGAGGAGGAAGTGGACGGCCGTGTTGATGGTGTCATCTACAGACCTGTTGGCTCTAAAGACAAACTGCAGGGAGTCCAGGAGGGGGGGCTGTGATGGATTTGAAGTGGGACAGCACAAAGCACTCAAAGGACTTCATCAGCACTGAGGTACGAAGCCAAAGAGACGTAGCCAAAGAGCAGGCGGTGTAGTTTGCTCACCTTTTTTCCCATTCTTTTTGAAAATATGTCACTCCTGATAAATTCAAACCATCCATCCATCCATCCATCCATCCATTATCAATACCGCTTATTCCCTGATGGGGTCGCAGGGTAAATTCAAACCAAGTTTACATTTTTAAATTTACAGTTCACATGTGTCAAAATCCCCTTTTCAGGATTAATATGCTCCATTTTTAAGTAGACACTGTTTTGAACATACGCAAAGAACTGGTTTCTTTCGTTTTTCCTTTTCTTTTGGAAACATTCAAAAGAAGCAAAAGGCTGTACGTATAACACGAAATGGGCCAATGCAACTAAAACTGGCACACATTTAATACCGGAGGGTAAAAAGTAAAGCAAAGTAAGGTCAAACGGTTTAAGCATGTTAAGCGTTCTCATCTAAAGAACAAATAAGAACACATCAGAGTGAATTCGATTTGCCTCTAAACTGTCCACTCAGTGGGTCATGAACTGGCCTTATTGCAGATTCTACATTGGGAAGCTAATTAAAGGAGACTGGGCGTGCGGTATCATGAGGTGAGACGCTCATCTCCCCCCTTCAGCTGCGGAGGAGCGCGTTTGTTCTGGAGAACTCAAAAGGTCACTCCGTTGACACGCGGCACACTGACTTTAAATTAGCTTTCTCTCAGCTATATCTTTAACCGATCTTGATATGCGGCTGCGTGTTTCTGAAGGATGGCGAGTCGGAGGAGTCTCAGGGGAGCCACGCCGCTCGGATTGTCGGGAGCCGATCATTTAGATTCTAAGCTGATCTGCTTTGTTCCAGGTCTGCACGTTGAACCCAAACCTGAGTCTGTTCAATACAATTCCATCTCTATAAGGTGGGAAATTTCTAAACAGGTTTACCACGCACCAGGAGGTTGCTTGGTTCTTTTGAATACTTATTTGTTCTGCCTCCCTTTTGAAACCATTTTCCTTGCAAGAGCTGGTTTGTTTTGCTGTAAATACACAAATCGCCATGGTAACTCCATCATTACTTACTTTAAATTGATACGCATTGCTTCTTTCAATGAGAGAAGACATTCCTGACCGATGGTGTAAGAGAGTGTTTCTGTCCAAATTAAATATGGCACAGAATCAAATATATCTGACCAACCCCTCCGGTTATGGCCGATCAATATTCCTCTGATCTCCAGCTGATCAAGCAGAACATTACAGACTATAACGCTTGACAGGAAAGCGCAATTAGCAGTTCTCGTTTGTTTCGTGCTAAAGGTGTTGCGGTAAATTTCAGTGATTAGACGTCTGCTTACAGCCGGCTGTTGGGTGAGCCAGCACATGTCGCTGAGCGTAGCTGCCATTGGACGAAGAAAGTATGGAGTATGGAGTATTTTATGTTGTAAAATGATCAGATGAAAACAAAAGAATACTCTCGATGCCAAAAAGCTGTGCACCGAGGCTGAGCACATGCTGTTTGTCCACTACCTGGTGTGATGACAGCCTCAGGTGACCTTTAATCCTCCCCATTTATCAAAATCATCGGAATTTAAATCAGCTCTGCTCTAACCGATAATCACGGGTCATA